ATTATAAATTCCTTTGGAAAATGATTTAAGAGTTCAAATTTGATATATGAGGATGCGAAGAAACATCTGATTTATTATTGTATTTTTTAGATATTGTTATCTGTCTATTTGTTTAATTATTTATGTATTCTTTGCTTTTAGGTATCCCTGCCCTATTTTTCAGTAAAAAGCTATTTGTTTTTCATTTATAATGGTATTCTTGTTAATTTATGCTTCCTATAATGCCTATCATGCATGCTTTATTCATTCTCTCTCTCTCTCTCTCTCTCTCTCTCTCTCTTTCTCTCTCTTTCTCTTTCTCTTTCTCTTTCTCTCTCTCTCTCTCTCTCTCGCTCTTTCTCTCTCCCATTCTCTGTTATTTCGTGTTCGCAATATATAACATATAGCTTCAGTTGGTGTCGTTAATTCATGGCTCTGTAATGAATTTTATCTAATTACTTATGTTCATACCCATTACTATCATACTGCATTTAATAATATAAAGTCAACTAAATCTACAGGAAGACCTCATCCCCTTAATAAAAACATGAAAGTAGAAAAAAAAATCATGGAAATTCCGTGTTATAGAAACTGGTGGCAGGACGTTCGTTATAATAATGCATTTTTATTCAAATTGAAATACCGGTAGCTTTAAGAGTAGCAATATTGCCCGTGCGTTAGTCGGTGTAATATTTGCAAAGGGTTATATCAAAATGGCTTAAATTCAATTTTCATACTTCGTTCCATATCTTAATTAGTGCGTTGTGCAATATTTCGCGGGTGGAACGGGAGCTACCTTTATAAAAAAAAAAAGAAAAAAAAAGAAAAAAAAAATATTTCGTTCATTGGTTCAGAACCGTATTTTGATATAAAGTTATTTCTTTTTTCATTTATGTTTGCCCTAAGTAAATGCCTTATATCAACTCCTGCAAATATTAGTGATCAAATTAGCATATATACGGTACACATATATTTTTTTTTTTATTCTCTCATTCGTTCTGGAAATTTGAAAATTATATTGCCGTAACATTATTCAACATATTCTAAGTTTAATAAGCACTGGTATATCGACGTTGATTCTCCAGCTTGACCTACATTTCTGCAACGAAGCTCTTAATCCGTTGCAATCCGCTGTTAATGGCCAGGGATACTTAAGGCAATCCCTGTGCTACGTGATATGTGTATCATTGTATGTATCCATTGCCGATACATAAATAACACGACCGAGATATTGTATAGATGTTTATGCCATTAATAAGTATTTTATGGCTTTTAAGTTCTTCCTATCACTCTATTCACATTTTATAAGTGAAGGTCTGTAAAATGAGAATTAAATAGTTGTGTGTATGCAAAAAAAAAAAAAAAAAGAAGAAAAAAAGAAAAGAAAAGAAAAGAAACAAAAAATGTGTGCGGAAACAAGAAAATGTATAATATATTACACTGTACTGTTTATCCTTTTTAATCTCAGAGCGAAAATAAGTTAATACTCATTTATACATTAACATTTTATCTTATTGCTGCGGTTGTTCTCTTGACACACACGCAACATATTCTATCTATATATCTTTCAGCACACACACACATACACACACACACATACACATACAAATACACACACACACACACACACACACACACACACACACACACACACACACACACACCACACACACACACACACACACACACACACACACACACACATATATATGTATGTATATAAGTATGCATGTATATGCATACATGTATATATGTATATACACACACGTATGCATACATACATAAACATCTACCTGTCTATCTGTTATCTATATCTGCACAATCACCAGATACCATTGAAAGTATTTCATCAATCGAGTGAGGTCTTTGCCGATGGTGCTCTGGCGGCAGAGAGGCCAGAGAAGCTCGTCCTCTCGGCCTCATTTCGGCGATCCTGGTAATTGGGTTGGAGGAGGAGCTCACAGAAGGGGTCGGTTGGTTGAGGGAGTGGGGAGGAGGGAAGAAGAAAGAGAGAAAAGGGAAGAGGGAAGAGGAATGGAGGGAAGAGGAAAGAGAGAAGAGGAAGGAGGGAAGAGGGAAGAGGGATGGAGGGAAGAGGAAAGAGAGAAGTTGGGATGGAGGGAAGAAGAAGAGGGGAGGATAAGGTGTTGGTGAGTGGGGCGGAGGGAAGCGGGGAGAAAGAAGATGAAGAAGGGAAGAGGAATAGAGGGAAGAGAAAGAGGAAGTGGTGAGGAGGTGTTGGTGAGTAGGACGGAGGGAAGAGGAAGGAGGGAAGAGGATGGAGGGAAGAGAAAGCCGTGAGAAAAAAATGGTAAGAGGGACGAGGGAAGTGCTAGGAAAGAAGAGGAACAGATGAGGAAGAGAAAAGAAGTAGGAGGAATAGGTGAGAGGAAAAAGGTGTTGAGAAAGTTGGGAAGTAGGACGGAAGAAGAGAAAAAGGTGAGGAAAAAATTGTTTGTAAGTGGATCAGTGGAATAAAAGGGATGGAGGAAGAGGAAGGAGAAGAAAAGGAGGAAGCGTT